AACGTTTTATACAAATGTTTATGCCAAGGAGAAACAAAAAAACGATGGACACTCCTAAATCTCTAATGTTCTCTAATGCTCACAGACCCTTAGACGCCGCGGACAATATANATTAAATTACAAATGAAGTCATATGTTAGTTTACAATATGAAGTTCAAAATCGCGGTTGTAGACGTTCAGGGGTTTTACTTCAATTCTAAATTCGAAGTTAAAGAATTTACTCTTCTGGATATCACCACCGACTACATAATACATTTACACTTAAAAGCTGGTATACCATTCCAACAATTAAACGTTCGTGATTAAAGATCAGTGAGATATTTGGAACGCAACCATCACAGGTTGTTATATAGCGATGGGTGAATAAATCAATCAGAAGGTCTAAAAGCAATTGATACCTTAATTTCCTCCTACGATCAAATATTTGTTAAGGGAAATCAAAAGAAGCAGTTTTTTCAAAAAACTAAGGGTAGTTTACACCTTGAAGCCCTCAGATATATGAGTGATATATCAATGGAAAACTCTTTGAAAATGAATATCAGTTTACATTTACCACATTTCGATAGTTATTTTTGTTATCAGCCTATAAGCGAATATATATACTTCGCCCCGATTTCCAACCTTTATAATTCGCCCCAGGAGCTTTATTAGCACGTATAAAAAAATACGTAAACCTAATTTTTGGCCACACTATCGCTGTACCAAATTTCAACAAAATCGGTGAGGGACAGTTCTGATGCTTCCCTTCTAAGTAATAAAATATGGGGGGTGCCATTTAAAAAAATGAAGTTATGGTACTTCCAAGTTTCGAAAAGTAAACGTGCCATAGTAAAGTTACCAAACGCTCTAGACAGCCGTACTCGTCACCAAAACATACTCCATCATGTTGCTTAAGCATGTTCTGAATACTAAATTGATATTCCAAAAATCGAGTGATCTCTGATTTTTTGAACAAATGTCTGCTGGAGCAGATTTCTCTAGAAAAATTCGAATAACTCGAGAACGGCTGAATAAAATTGCAAAACGTAATGTTATTCATAAACCTAGAAAACAGTTAAATCCAAATATGTAAAGATATACAGGATGTTCCATTTAAAAAAATAAAGTAAGTGGCGATTTCCGGTATAATCGGAAATGCTAGAAATCTAAAAATATTTTAGTCGAAGATTGCAATTGATAATAATGATAATACTTAAATCTAAATTTTAAAATTTTTCTTTTTTCCGGAACCCCGTATAGTTCTAATGGACGGCCGTTGTGGATGACCCTGTATATATTGTTTTTTATATTATGCTAATATAATTTATTGTTAATTTGAAATGTAATGATTTTTTTTTTAAATTGTTAGTATATTTTTTTTGTAATAAGTTTTTCATTTCTAACCCTATATCCCCACCATCATTAAATTTAATTTTTCAACTCAAGTTACGCTAATTTACAGTTCACTTGTCACTCACTCTTATACCACTCAATCATAGTTTTCGCTTTAAATATTTATCTCACCCCTATTTACAACACTCAAATCTAGGTGACATTGTATTTAAATTTTTCTATTTACTTTTCTAAAAATCCCTAGATCTCTAGTTACTTTTGATACCAACCGAATTTTTTAAATTTATTTAAATAATTTTTTCTCCGAAACTTCGGCTGGCACCGAAGTTTCTCTATACCCTTTCCCCACTTTCCCTATACCTTATACATTGAGGCGTGACGTCACGGCATGAGCAACTTCCGCTCCAGAACTCTCACTATTACTCTACTCAGAACTTTACACAGCTTGAAGGCAAATACTAACCGTATTTTGAACCACTGATCGATAAATTCAAAATTCCCCAATTTTATTAGAGATTATAACTATAAAAAAATTTTGTTACAATAATATATCATATTATTTGTAATATACTTCGAATTCCGGGCGTTACTATTAATAGCATGGAAAACTACGTAACCGTGAAATTTTCGTATTTTTCTCGATATTTATGCATCTGAGAGCAAAAGTGAAAGAGACCAATATTGTTACGAATAAAATTTGCTTAAAGTTTTCTTTTAGTATGCTCCGACTTCTATAACATTTTGTCAGATCTCGAACAGTAGTAGATATCTGTGAGAATGAAAAAGGACGAGCAAATATTTTGAATATTATAATGGAATAATAATAATACAAATTTCGATCATATTATGTACAGGTTTATTGTAAACGAGAAAATAAACATTTTTTGTCGTAAAATATCATTTACACGAATTGTAATTGTGATAATTTATGTGGGCAGTAAGGTTGCTAGCCTGGAATTGACAATATTCACAGCGTACATGTACATGTGAAAATCACAGTATTACAATTTGCACAAGGAATCTCGCGCCAACGAATGGGTTGGGTTCATGAACGGAATATGAAGATGAGGGAGGAGGAAGAAGGGCGAGATAAAGTGCAGAAATAATGAGGAAGTATAATAGGGACGATAGTTATAACAATCCAGTCAATAACGATGGGTTTTCGAAAGTAACAATTTGTTACAACGTTTTATACAAATGTTTATGCCAAGGAGAAACAAAAAAACGATGGACACTCCTAAATCTCTAATGTTCTCTAATGCTCACAGAATCTTAGACGCCGCGGACAATATATTATACGTAATAATTTTATATGTTTAAAGATTTTGAAGGAGAAGAAATTTAAATTCAATTGGTCAGCGTCTATGAGAAAAGAAAACTTATCAGTAATTAATTTTTGTTCATTAAAAATTTGTTGACACATTACATAGTATTTTTGTTTTTTAATCACATCATAAGACAATAAACAAAAAATTTACCGCATTCACTAAATAATAATACTAATAGTTAACAAAATAAATACAATAAATACTCGAAATCTATTTAAGGGGGAAGTCTTTTTTTACTGAGCCATGGACGAAACTACTTAGCTATACACAAAACAAGCAAATTATTATCCGATGCGGCTCTGTACCAAAGACGACGATTTAACTAAAGATTCAGCATTCGAATGTTGGACATAAAAAAGGTGAGATTAAACGAAAAAAAAGTGATAAAAAGAAATAACGTAGCCATTAATATCACATCCCTCAGTTAATATCTGACATACCTACAAGATACTTGTTACTTAGTTTTTAAAATAACGATAAGGCATTATCAACCCGAAACGTAGCAAGCACTTATAATGGAACATGATTAATCATTTTTATTTTTATATACTCTTATTAATTATTCTATATAGACTAACATATACATTGATATATATTGCGTAATAAATAATCGTACCAACTAATAAATTTCTAATAAAAAAACAACAGTCTAGTTCATTCTGCCACTGAACGTGCAGGCAGACACATCAATTATTGAACACCATCTGTGGAAAAACATATATGTATACGTAAAGATAACAAGATCGTTACACGTTTACAATTTTTTTTAAATAAACAGTAGTCAGGACGTATCGACAAAATAACCCTAGTCTACGATTACAAAAAAAGTCCCTCTTATTATTATTTCTTATTACCTTTCCGCATTATTACTTTTAAATGAAATCGTAGGAAATCACATGAAACCTCATTTATTAATAAAAGCGACTTTCTCGTGTATCGAATTATTTGTTTGGGCCGTTTGTGGTGCCTCGGCACCTTCGCTAACGTCAGCGTGCAAAATACACACGTTCACGTTGCTTAGCCTAATATGTTTGTTATTGTCGTTAACCAATTTATCAGACGCCTGTCGTTTAACTCCTCCGCCAGTTTTTATTCCTCCGTTTCTAACGGAATTCTTCAATATGTTCGGCTTATGGTGGGTATTGACGATCGTGCACAAATTAGAAATTGCTCGACGGACGTTTGAGGCTATTTGAATTTCACCAGTACCTCCAATTTTCCTTGTCGATGAAGACGACATCACCAGCGGTTTGGGATGTGCCGGATATTGAGGTGCTCCGCTCGCTTGTACTGGTATTGTTACGACAATCAGTTGGGTCACTAATGGAGGACTTTTAGACGCATTTTAAAAAATCTGAAAAATAGAAAAGATTTCTTTTTCATTAATTTAGTCACTTATGCGAAGGTAGCTCCCAATTAGATATTACATGTATTTTCTCAACACCGCTTTTCTCAAATGTATCTGCAAAGAAAATTCGTCCGTTAAAGGGGGTGTGGCAATAAAAAAAGGGTTTACACAGATATAAATATATTGAAGAACACAAATATATTGGATAGGTATGGGCTCCAGCTCACTCAATGGTGACGGGAAGCGGGGGTTTACGATGTTAATAAAAGGGCGCCACGAACTTATACCGATACCCACCAACTTTATTTCCCTCGGACAGGTAGCTAACTTCGAAACCAAGTCGAGAGGTTTAAACAAAACACACGAAAAGACAAACTCCTGCAGTTGAGATTGGAAACTATATTGAATAATGAGATAAATTATTAGAAAAGAAATATTGGGTTTCATAAAATATATTGGTTTATGACTAATAAAGAGGATTATTAAATTAAATTCGAATATGATAAACAATTTATAAAAAGAAAAGAAAAATCCGCTCTAAAGATTCTCCAAAAATAGAATCAAAACTATAACCTGAAAAAAGAAAGAAAATACACAATAATTGAGTCAGCTGAGTCAATAATGTATGGACANATAAAACAAGAAGCCATTATTGTATTCGTTATTAAAACGACGCTTTTTTATTCGATCCTTTGAAGAATTCAACTTAGAACCCCAATTCAAGTAAGAACTTTCCTTCTTTCGAACCAACACCTACAATTATTCTCGACATTTGTCGCGCGAACATTTGGTCCTTCGAGCCGGATTGTCGGTATTTTCTCTTTTCCCCGGTTATCGGACACATCTTCGCCAGCGTGCGTTGTTGGGCCCTTCGTTACCGCGCTTTAATTCCCGGTACCTTGGGGTGATCCGGACGCACGACGCTGTTTCCGAGATTCCTTTTCCCTTAATTTATATTTAATTTCGTTTATTTTGAATTTATTTATTCACCATGACAACGACAACTGATAAATTACAAAAGGCCGTTTTAAAAAGGACTAGTTTGCTTAATAGATTAAATGAAACTCTTACCTACGGCCAAAACTTGATCTCGGAAGAAGATAAATGTATCTTTTCTGCACGGGCAGACCGCGTTGATACTGTTTATGATCAATTTCAAGACATTCACAACCAGATCATGGGTTTTATCTCAGATGGTGACTTCCCACAACATGATGAGGTAAGGAAAGAAGTTGATAAAGCTTATTTTACCATCAAATCGATCCTTATAAAAAATAAATCGTCACCTGCACCTATTCCTATTCCGCAATCATGTCCAAAACTAAACAAAATCATAATTCCTGTTTTTGACGGCAATTACAAAAATTGGCCGACCTTTTTCGATTTATTTAATACAATGATTAATGACAATGATTCATTATCAGCCGTAGCCAAATATCAATATCTTCTCACTTCACTGTCCGGAGAAGCGTTAAATTTAATAAAAGGTCTTCCTGTGACCAATGACAACTATATAATTGCCTATAACTCGTTAAAGGGGAGGTACCAGAATAAACGTCATCTTGCTACTTTATATTTTAACGAGATCGTTGCTCTGAAACCAATACAAGAAGAGTCATCGAAATCTTTTAGGTTTTTAATAGATACCTTCAAAGAAAATATAGACGGTTTTCGGATGCTTAATTTTCCCGTTGATCAATGGGACTTTCTTTTGTTTAATATTCTTCTTCAGAAGTTAAACATTTCTACAAAAACCAAGTTTGAATCCGAACATACCACCTTTGAAATTCCAACATACCTTCAATTAATTAATTTCCTAGAAAACCAAGCAAAGGCTTTCGATTCAGTGTTACTCACATCTGATAAACTTTCCATGAACAAAAACAAACCTTTTCAAAATTATCGTGGCAAAACATCGGTTAACCTCAAAACTGAAGATGTAAAACTATCTTTTAAATGCATATTATGCCCAGAATCACATTCAATATATCGTTGTTCTAAGTTTCTTGCAAAATCAGCTTCAGAAAGATTATCCATAGCAAGAGATCACAATCTCTGTCGCAACTGCTTAAACAAAAATCACAATACAAGTTCTTGTACATCCAATTATCGCTGTCATTCCTGCGATCAACGTCATCACACATTGCTACATTTTGAAACTAAGAAGCAACCAACTATGCATGTAGGGACGACTGCATGTAATAATGGCAACGTATCCATAGAAGGCGCTAATCATCAGGTCATTTTACCTATCGCGTTCGTACAGATTCGTGATCATTTTGGTCGACTTCATTTGGCAAGAGCTTTATTAGACTCTGGGAGCATGTCTAATTTTATTACCACCAAACTATCGCAAAGACTTCGGTTGCCACGTAAAAGTCATTCATTGGAGATTCATGGATTGAACTCTATGACATCAATTTGTAATAAGGGCATCGTTAATTGCAAGATTCAATCTTGTCAATCCCAAAATTTCTCTTGTGATCTGAAAGCCATTGTTACTCCGTCTATTTGTTCTGCTCAACCTTCATTATCACGTATCATTAATTCTTACGATCATCTTAAATGTTTGGATTTTCATCCTGAACATAATACCTCAGTCAAAGATGTTGATCTACTATTGGGAGCAGAATTAGTTCCTCAAATTTTTACTGGTGGTCGTGTCTGCGGTGGTCAGAACGATCCTATTGCTTTACATTCCGTCTTTGGATGGATATTAATGGGAAAATCTCAATTATCGACATCGACTTCAGTAGTATAAAAATGAGAGTTCTGGAGCGGAAGTTAATCCCCCAAACCCCCTGTGACGTCTGCGACGTCTGCGCGCGCATGAAGTGACGTCACAGCGCGGGAAATTTGAAATGCATGTGGCGCCATCTGGTGGTGTGTAATGAAACTAAAAAACATGTCATGTTGGTTGCCTACGTCGTGAGGCGCCACCTAGCGGTGGGTGGTGGAACTAACGCTATGTTGACCATCTGGTGGTGTGTAGTGAAACTAAAACATGTCATGTTGGTTGCCTACGTCGTGAGGCGCCACCTAGCGGTGGGTGGTGGATGTTGGTTACTTACTTCACGGGACGCCACCTAGCGGTGGATGGTGGAAGTAACGCCAAACGGCGGTGGATAGACGACGCGCGCTCACCTAGCGGTGTACAGTTAAGCGGGAGAGGTCTGATGGGCGATAGATGGCGCGCGTAAATTTTTCAAAATTCATGCGACGTTATAGAATTCAGATACAATTAATATAAAAAAGGTTTCGGTGGTGTAACTTAACGGAATATACATAATACTTACTTGTTCTAGGAATTGAACTGATAGCTGCAAGGAGAAATCTAGAAACTTTAAAGTCAATAAACCACCGAACTACCGAAACCTTTCGAGTTTAATGCAGTTGAACAGAACAAAAAATAAAAAAACAAAAATAAATATTACTTTATTAATTAAAACATAAATTTAATAATACCATAAGATTAATAAACCTCCGCGATACGTTTTGGTAAAAATACTAATAAACCATCCTACAAATCAACAACTGATGGCCATGTAGATGATGTAATCCGGTTCACAGACTTAAATCACATATAATTTATTCACTTCTAATTCAGATATGTTCTTCTTCGGAGCAAATTGATGCTGCTCTATAACTGATTTAAACGTGACATACTAGCTTGAGTTGCTTTATAACGTGAGCGAGCGGTGTGAGCAGTAGTAGAAGGTAACAACTGAGACTTCTATATGAAAATTTTAACCGTTTATACCATCGGGAACAACCTTGAAAAATGTTAGAATGTGTGTTGCACAACAACAACAATAACTTAAACGTTTATACGTAATTAGACGAATATAAAGTTGTTATACAATGCAAATAATATATTATGCATTTTATTTTCTCGAATCTTCGCCGCACCTTGATTTATTGACAGTGTATGCAAATAGAAATGCAAATGAAAACAGAAATTTAAAATGCAATAAAATAAAGTTGACTATAATACAATGTATGACGTGTTTTAACTGGTGACACGCGTAAATTTTTAAAAATTCATGCGACGTTATAGAATTAAGATACAATTATTTTCGTAGTATTAAAATACATGTAGCTTTAAAACATTTATTGAGTGATAAATGGCGCGTGTATAGCTATGGGCGTTCTAAATCAAAATCCCAAAAGATTTAACGTAGGGGTGTCCAAAAGTACTTTTTATCCGCACCACTACCTCCTTCTGACCACGTACACATTTTAAATTCATCTGATGAGCGATAGATAGCGCGCGTATAGCTATAGGCGTTCTGGACCAAACTCCCATAAGATTTAATATAGGGGGGTCCGAAATCACATTTTATCCCCACCACTACCTCCTTCTGGCCACGCCCACATTTTAAATTCAACCAATCGGAGCGCAGCATTCTCCAAGAACCCTCTCTTTGGTGGGAAATTTGAATGAGGCTATCTAGATCGACGGGCCTTATCACGATGACGTCATCGTCGATACATGCGGACACAAAGCGTTGAGCGATGAATGACGCGCGCTAGGTGGGGGGGTGTTGCCTGATGGGCGATAGATGGCGCGCGTAAATTTAAAATTCATGTGACGCCATCTGGTGGTGGTGG